TGACGGAAACTCGGGGACTGCGCCTACCTGATGAGCCCCAAGAAGGGCGAAACCGGTCGTGAGCTGTCGAAGGGTTTTCCGCAACCTTGTGAATAGTTTCCCTTATGGAAATATACGCGGATTCAATAACATTTAAGCGAGACAAGCACGCACCATGCAGAGGTTGCACATATTACAGAATGCTATGACTGTAGGTCTCAGTTCAATAACGGTCGGAAAAGCGTATTTCAAACTGGACCGCAAGTTGCTGGTCTAGGTTACTGAGCGGAATTCAAGAGCATCCTGAGGCAACAATTCGTCCCAAAAAACTTGCTTTTGAGCGAAAATTACACGTGTACAGCAGGTAAATGCGGAAGTCCGCGGACAACGGTTGAACCAAAACGACTTAAGTACTTTCAACCTGATTGTTTGCCGTGTCGGATCAGAATAATATTGTGACGAACATGATACAACTTCAAGGTGAAGCTGGTACTCTAAGGTTTCAAAGGGTCACCAGTCATTGGTCAAAACATCAGACAAGTTGCTGAATAGCAGCACGATTGTTTGGACACATGCAAAAATATGAAAGAAGATGCTCGGGATTGTAAACTTTTGTGATGCCCACCAAGAATTTATGAACCAAAAAGGTGGACAATGCTAGCAAAAGATCATCGGAGGCTCTCTGTATTTGACCATCGACGCCTTCGAAGCATTTCATGGGCCTGTCTGAAACACACTTATAGACCCACGTGTCGTTTAATGCACAGAGTGGGTCACCACCTCAGAGACGTGGCTCTCAGTGGACAAAAGCTGTAGCAAATGGAATCACTGTACTTTAGTATACGGTTTGTGAGTTGAGAAAAACTGATCACCACCATCGACAGCATGACATTAGTGTTCAACACCGATGCCCCACTGCCGCACAACCACGATTTATAGGAAAGCCTTAGTGTAAAGAAAAGAGTAAAGGTGGATGGGGAAGGAGCTTAGTGGAAGCTTACTACAAGCACTCTGAGGTGCTCACACCTCCAAACACTCATTCAGGCAATCTGGATAGAGAGTGACAACAAGAACGCCAGTGAAATCGGTTGGCAGCCATATCTTGCGGCGTCTACAAAAGGGCGCAGCGGGGGTCACGCGGTCCCCATTCTAGAAGGCGAGTAGCACCGACAGTACTCATGTTTTATGAATTCCTTGATACCCCTCTGCCAGGTCAAAGGTTGGCCACCACTTTGCTTCCGCCAATCTGAATTGGGCATGGAAAATAGCACTCTCTTCGGCAAGCGATGGTTAGGCATACACAACACATGTCCCAACCAACGCAGCTTCTGGTGCTGGACACATTCTTCAATGGAAGTAGCCGTTGCACGACTGAAACCGAACCCAACGGTAGTGGCTTGAAAAAGCAGAGAAAACTACCTAATCGATACTTAACCAATCACGTATACTGAGGAGCGCACGAGACCCTTTTAGGGGACACAAAGCAACCTTCACAACATACTCGTCCGATAGAAGGAAAATAAAATAAACCGTCCAGCTGCAGCACCCTTCCGGTGCCTAGCTGCCATGCCACTCGAAGAAAGCACGAGGGCTGAGATACTGCCAAGCCTAGACAGGGGAAGTCGAGATGTAGAGGTCGGGTTCGAACCATAGACCTTCCGGTCAGTAAATCCGTGCTCCAACCACTTGAGCCATCTCGTCCAATGAGATTTCGAAGGTATCGAATGCAACTTTGTAATCGGACCACTGCGAACGGTGGAACGATTACTGTATGTAAGGAAACTACTAAGAAACCAATGATCTGTTGGATGACAACATTACCGATGTCCGACTCACCCAAATTGACTTCCGCGTTGCTAAAACTCATCAATGAGGGTAGCAAACGTTTGGCTCCGGCTAGATTGGAGGACGTGAGCGACTTTTTAGCTGTTTGAACGCTGAGTTTCAAAGGAATGAAGCTGATTGACAGGGTGTCGAACCAGAACGGGATGCTCTTGTCAACACTGGATGAGAAATTCGGTCTGGAAGAGAAGGCATAATACGCAGCGGATCGTATGGGGCATAACGTTCCAGAGGGGACCACACATGGACATACTTAGAAACAGCGAAGTTGCTGTATGCTTGTAAACTAGGGTTCCTTCAAAATGGGTTCGTCCACGTAACAAGAGGGGTTGTATCAAGCCTATCTGGATGGGTTCAAGCAGACTCCCATTACAAGCTAGATGAGCCAGCGTGCAAAAGCATACAATAACCTGGGAAAAAAACTGCCACCAATAACATACCTGGAAAGAGGCTGCTCATCTTCGTAGTCCGGGGTGATATTTGAAGTCGACAGTCTGCTGGTCGCATGTTGCCAAAACTGGATCAATTTGAGGAGCAGCAGTTCCTCGGCTTGAATGTACACTGGACCAACGGTGACCTACGAACGGAAGCAAGAGGTGGAAACGGGCATCAGAATCCTTTTCGTCCGGGTGATATTCCCACTCAAACGATTCCAAATCTGAGTAAGCCCTCGAAGGGGATGACTACATAGAATCCCAAGAAAGTTGGCTCCTGAGGAACCGCGCTGTGATATCCAGTGGATATACGCGATTTATGGGAAGCGATGGCATAAAACGACAAAGTTTAGCTCACAAAAAAAACAACCAACCGTGATGCTGGGGTTTAGAAAACAGGCACACAGAGCAAAGCCACGCACCTGGAAAGTTTTGAACAGATGCACATTCCACCTGCTCTGAACTTGTCTCTGATATGCCACACTCAGCGTAGATGCAGTAGGAAACTGATCGATACCTCCAAATTCACCGGGAGCATTTAACGCGAGCGGTTTCCCTTGCAAGACATTTGTCGCAATTCTGTTTGTGGCGCTTGACTCTCTTGCTAACGAGGTACTGTCCGTGAACAGGAGGACCGGCAAAGTTGCACCGGGGAATTGGCTGTTGACCTACCATGAGAACGAGTGGAAGATAGAATTCGATACAAGAGGTTGAGTGGGTGAAAAACACAGGTAAGAACGCTTACCTGCATGTGATCCACACTGAAGCGTACATAATCCGACAAAGATTTGCGTCGTAGGAGAGAAGCTAATGCATCAGTTTCCTCGTTCGTCCAACTTCCCTGAGCTACCTCAGGCGTTGGCTCACGAGTGGTAGGGGAACTACAGGCGTCCAGTTGTAGCACGTCACAAGCAACATTGAGACCACCAGATGGCGGAGGACTAGCAGGCTCAGTAAAGCGCTCCCAGTCCTTGTCAAACACATCCAACGAGTAGGCGCGGCAAAACGATAACCGGACGTTTACGAGTGACGCATACACGAGTTCTTCGGCAAAGGCGGACACGACACTCAGGCCGATACCGAGGGGAAGGGATACAAGGACCTGGACGGACGGAAATGATGAGGACAGGACAAGATTGAAGTAACGGTGAGCGCACGAACACAACCGGCGTTGATCATTAACGAGGAAGTAGATAACATGCGGTGTTGACGAGAATTCGGTTCGTTAATGCTGAAGGCGGATGAGTTTTGTATGCGAAAGTGCGAGAACGTTTTGGAGGCCTATGGATAGTAGGTCCCTCTCCAGATGAGATTCTGCAAGTGTCGAGAGACACAAATTGTAGATGATTTCCAAAGAGGATGCCAAGGCGGCTGTCGGCTTTTTTATAGCATAGATGGCTCCACTGATAGCATGAAATCTCAATCGAGAATCAATAAGTCTCCCTACACTGCCATCGGGGAACTATCTGTCAGCTAGGCTCTGCGGCAGGATGTAGAGTACTCTACTGAGGGCAGTGCGCACCCAACTACGCACTGATGATGTCTCCTCACAGGGTGACGAAACGTTTGCAGTTCAGTTGCCAAGCTCGGCAAACAGATCAACAGCCACCTGATCAACAACCAATCAACTCACCCGAGCTGCCAATATTTCAACACATTACCAACTGTGTAGTGGATAATGAATTCTGGCAAACGGTGATAGAGACTTACACGAAACTGCGAACAATCGTGGGTTTCGGTGAGAATTCGAGCACGTGGTGAGTTGTTCCAGCCCGAGTTTTCAATGATAGACAAGCGCTGTGAATGATAGTACGAGAAAGTGGGGAGAAAGTTGACAGACTAATGGTACCGCCGGAAAAACGGGAAATACAACTTCCCAAAACTGAGAACCAACCTTTGGTGTTGCATCAACAAGCATCAAACTCCCCCATCGGGACAAGTCCGGAGCGCTTTGTTTGGAGGCGCTCTCAGCGCTCGGTTTTGAAGGCAGCAGTCTAGAAGGGAAAGCCTCATCCTCAATGCGCAGCACTCGAGTGACTCCGTCCAAATACACGTAGACACGCAAGCGACCCGAACCAGGGCGTAGCCACAAAGGCAGAATAATCGCCGGGGCAAGTGACGGACTGAGTAGGCGAGTTGCTGATGGTCGAGGTTTGACGGCTAGGATCGGTGCACCAACAAAGTCACTGAGCCCTATGTGGAAAGGAGTACTTTCTCGGTAAACTTGGACGCAGTACAGGGCGTTGTTCACGAGTAGTCCGTGCTGGAAAGGCACACGGAAAGCATCATTAAGACCGTGTTAGAATAAGTTCCTAGGAAAGAAACAGGAAATCAAAACCAACCTGATCTATCCGCCACGTTTGAAATTGCTTCCGGCGCTTGTTCAGTGGAGACACAACTAGTCGAGCAACTTCGAACTGTCTGATCGTGTCCGTATCTAGAACGAAGCGGTTCTCATCATCACGATGTGCCGCATCACTGCCAGTATCCACATCTAGCACGAATTGTTTTTTGTACAGAACCGGTTTGAGGTTGGATCTTTCACCAGGCTCTAGGGGGGAAGAGCTGCCCTCGTGGAAGATGTGTCCAGAGTCCGAGAGCCACCAGAGCTGAGCACGCCGTCCTGGAATCTGTTGTGAGGCCAAACGAGGGACACGTGTCGTGTGTGAGTCAGAACTCAATGATGGATCACATAAATGGCCCAATTAAGTAATCCTGGAGAGTAATTCTGATGAGTTTGGTTCACCTGCACTACCTCATTTTTCTGTCGGGTATTACCACACCACCAAAATGGGACCATAGATTTAGCAAGGCGCTGACACCAATCTATACGACACACTCAGAATTGATCAGCTGACTAACCGAAACGACCGCTGACACATGTATCACTGAGACCATCTGAGACTGACTATTGCCCGAAAAAGCACTACCTCAAGGAGATGGGGTTATGACTCGAATGTGTGGCGAATGAAGGTAGATTAACGAGGGAACACATAGGTCACGTGATGTATTATCTACGTAGCACAAAGTTTGACTGGTACTGACAGTACCACCTCACTGCGACATCCAGCATAGGATGTGCAGAACCAAACTGCACACGAGGGCATAGTTCAGCGCAGTGCCAATAGAGGATACCTACCTTGGACGAGTAGACCACATGGTGCGAGGAAGGCCGCACGTCGAAAACGAAGTCGGACGAGAAGCTGTCACATCTTGACGATGCTGCTGTGTCCATCAGAGGCCCGAGTACGGTCAGATAGACAAAATTGTCATAGATTAACGAACGACCCAAACCAATCTTGTCCAGATCGTACGCAGCGCTGGTTCCACCCTGATCAAAAAAGATAAGGTGTATGGTTTTTTTAACGATATGTGGTGCGGTGTACCCAACACCTGAGAAAAACATATTGCAAAGTTTTCACTGATTGTGCAGCCGCATATGATGTTTGAAGTTACCGATACTTACCTTCGGATGTAGCGTGAAATGGTAGAATAAGAATATCCAACAAAGAAATTACTCACACTACACATCAGAGTTGGAAAAAGCGGAAATTTCCAAAGCAGGAGAGACATTACCACTCAATCAGAAAGGCGAGAAACACAGTAAGTTTTCTGACAGGCAGATGGACCACTGATCTTTGGGTTAGAAGACTCATTCAGATCCATCCTCTGACTCTTGGGGGAGGCGTTTATTATCAAATAGCCAAATACAATAAACGATTTCGGGATCAGTAATACCCCTCAACGTTCCAGCTACGTATCCTAAATGCTATACGAAATGTGTCAAAGTGGGAAGCTGACAAATACAGCTTTTCGTGTGCACATAAACCCCAAATATGCTCCGATTGCCTGATTAGACAATTGACCAGGTTCGTGTTTGTGGGCCACGCACCAGTATATTTGACCTTGTTCACAAACAGCAGCTCAATCGAGAATCGTAAGAAAAACAAAGGTCGCTGTCCTGGCAACTGCATTCGAAGAAGTCACGACTTGGTGGTGGGGGGTTACTAAAATCGTTCTGGAAGTTCACCAGGAGGGTATAAGTAATTCATGGAAATACTTGCCTGGACACGTAGCGCGACAACTGGATTGAACAGCGGCTCTTCCATGGCATAGTCAACCGAGGTAGCTGGCCCAATATAGGACAAAGTGGCTCCCCCGACCCATTCAGACTTTTCCTGTCCGCTAGTTGACGACACGGACTCCAAAGATCCATCAGACTGGCGACGTATACTGGCGGATGTTCTGTCAGACAGAATTGGAGAGAATGAAGCAGGCTCATAACCCGTATCTGTGATGACACTTTTGAGGGAGGGAGTCGCACGCAGAACTTGTTGATAGGATAGTGACACAGCGCTATCATTCTCGATGCGAAACGGAGCAGGAAGAGAACTGGCATCAGACAGTAGGATGTGGAATGTGGCCGCCCGGAGTACAATAACCACACGAAGGAAGAGGCGATCAACCACCGGGCAGCTCGTTGTGTCACTGATGGAGTTGAATGACTCAGAAAGGTGAGGTAAGCTACGCGAGGAAAATACGAACGCATTAGACCGGAAAGCACACATAACAATATGTTACAAACGTGGTCTCACTCGTAATAAAGTTTTTGAACAAGAATTTACTCCTTCAAGATTGTTCACTTGCACAAATTTGAACACGCTATAATGTTCCACCCCGACCAAAGACCTACTCTCGGAAAAAATTGACCCAAAAACTTACTGGAGCATCATCGTAAACGAATATGGACGATCAAAGGATCTACTCCCTCAAGATTGTTCACTTGCACAAATTTGAACACGCTATAATGTTCCACCCCGACCAAAGACCTACTCTCGGAAAAAACTGACCCAAAAACTTACTGGAGCATCATCGTAAACGAATATGGACGGTCAATAGGAAAGCCGCCGGACCATGATGAATGGCGCTCCCTGTCTATCGGGTTATCTCCTTCCACCGGGTTTGTAACTTCCCACACGGCACGGACAGAAAGCAGGCGATCTAAATCTTCACGGGGCCAATGATACGCTTGTGTGCCACCAGAATCGAGGACGGCAATAGCTGCAAAAATCGAATACGAATCGGATACGTGGTTAACAGTATTCTGATTGATGTGTGGAAATCAAACTGTCCACATGTTCCAGCAACCACTCATTCATGTGAGTAAGTAATCGATCGACTCACAAGCGTAGTAACTCACCTGATGCACCTGATCGAGTACGAAGACACTTTTGTTGAGCAACATGTAATCTGAGATCTGTGGCATTCTCAATCACATAGCGTGGCTTGAATGTGACAATTCTGGTTACTGCATGTCTTCCGCAACCTTCACGAACCTCAAATCCAACGTGGTAGACCAGACTGGGACTGGAAGCAAGAGATGTTCAAACAAATATTTATGACAAATCCCGCGTACTGTTCCAAGTCTTCGGTGAACGGACGAATAAAAGGTGCAATTCAATTCAATTTCAGTGTATCAGTTATAAACCACACACCATAGACACATTGGTTCCACTTGCTACAGTTTCGATCACTGAAAAACAAGAGAGTATGGGACATACAACCAAGTCTAGGAGGCGACGGCATGTATGGTAAGTTTGGGAACTGTGTAGCTACGCACTGAAGGCGATAGCATTGATGCACCAGCGCCATTGACTGCGTGATTGGGCTATTTCTGCTAATGTCATGATCCATTCCGGGAGGCGACAGTTGCCCACCGGACTAAGTTTACTGGTCAGTTTTTTAGTACTTCGTTGCCAGGTCATACACTGTCCATCTGTCGGTCGCTTCCACTCAGCACAGGGCTGGGAAAAAAGAGCTCCGTGACGCAGATGGTCTTCTGACATGCGGAGTACATGACCCAACCAGCGCAGTCTATGAAGCGTGAGTAGTTCATCTATCGCGGGAGAAATCCTTCTTCCTAAGACACTCTGGCTTACCTCAGCAGTACTAATCCGACCAATGAATCGGAGACACCGACTGCTAAACACTGACATCTTCCGTATATCCTCTGTGCGTATGGGCCACGTTTCTGATCCTTAAAACAGTGTGGGTCGCACCACTGCGGCGTAAACTCTGCCCTTGTCGCACACAATGACGTCACGTTGGTGCCATATATATCGAGGGTTGGAAAAAGCTGCCGTGGTCCTCCCTTTTCGAGAAATAATCTCATATTCAACTGGTCATAGGGACCTTACAACTGCCCAAGTAAGCAAACTTACCTACCACGTCGATTGGCCAGCCTGCAAGCATGAGGTGTGGATTTGATCCGACCCAGTCTTGTAGCAGAACCTTACACTTTGCAGGTGTGAAGCGCATACCAAACCGTGCGACAGTTATTTAGGTTACTTAAAATCGTTTGCATTTGGGAAGGATATGAACCAAAGAGAGCAATATCGTCCGTATACTCAATGTTTGTGAGCGAACATCCCGAGAGCGTTTCGATTCACGAATAAATGATGCTCTGAAATGTGTGCCCGTCAGGCGGCCTGGTATGCACCACAAGAAGAAAAGTGACCGGAAGGTCCGTGGTGCGAACCCGACCTTTGCCTCTCGACTTCTCCTGTCTAAGCTTGGGCAACCTGACAGTATCCCAGCCCTCGGGTGGCATGGCAACTAGGCGCCCAAAGGGTGTTACAGCTGAGCGCTTTTTTAAATGACGGAACAGCGTACTTACCGATTGGCTGAATCGACCATTTTCAATTGTAGCATGTCCACACCAGACTTATCCAAGGAGATCGCTGGAGACCACACCGGAGAAAATCCACCATTAGAATTCGATGGATCTGCAGATTCTGTTTTCGCGAGTCTAAACGAACCGAGACAGTGGACACGGTCAGACACGCGCCTCCGTGTGTCATGAATTGAAACTAGGATTTTACACTCACCCTCGTCCAACTCGAACCCTCAATAAGTAGCCTTCATTTCTGTTGGAAAAAGAGAAGAGTAGGGGTGATACGGATCGTGCTTCTTCGTGCTCGTCGTACTGTCCGGCTGCAATGTTGGTGAGCGCTCGCTGTCGTGCCGCCTCAGTGTTGGAAGCGTACAGCCGACCAGGTGAGGAAGAGGACTGAGCGAAGATAAGAGGCAGTCCGGATTGGTTGATTAACCAGAAGGCCGCACTCACAGTCAGGTGCTTGGCGCTTCCAGCTCGAGCAAGGACTTGAATCTAAAAAGGTGTTTTGTTCAAAGACGGCCATAGAAATCAAATCGAATACATCTACTGAAAACGGTCTGGTACTGATAACTGGGCGGAATCTCAATAAAACCAACTGAATAGGGCCGGGTAGAAAACGAGCACGGACGGTGAGCGTGCCGCACAGTTGCACTTTTCTATACAAGGTAACGTCCAAACCCAATTCACCCTGAAAAAAGAAACAGATGACCAGCTGTTTGTTAGTCCGGGAAAACAATCCTCTTCGTGTTTCGTCCTTGCTGGGACCCATCAGATGAATGTGGCGAGATCCGTCAAGTTATCTAAGGTTAGCAACTTTTGTTGCTTATCACAGTGGCACGCGACCTCCGATCGCACTTGTGCACATGGCACAAGTCTTGATTTGTCCCATGCGGTGAAATCGTCAAGAAATTTGTCTACTTAAGGGCAGACGAGTATAATTAGTAATATTTTCCACAATCCTCGTGGAATACCAAGCCTCGGTGACTTGGATCTGAATAGGCGGTTTACAAAGAGGGTGTAGTTATATCTGAAATGCAGCCCATTGGGCGTTTTGTCCCGGCTTAGCCTCATCTGGGGGCAGGAAGCAAGAAGAACGTCACCGAAAGGGATGTACATCCACCTGATGAATCCATTACAGGGTAAAAACTGTGTTAGAGTACTTTCCAGGATTAACCACGCCACTCCCTTAAAAAGTAAACAATTCAAACACAAGTTATCAAGTCACTCACAAGGAGCACGAAAAACTTTCGGGATAAAAATCGACTGCTCTCCAGTAGTCACACATTCTGACCAATCACGAGCTAAACATTTGAGCTGATTAGCTGTTTTCGGGGTAGGAGGCGGACACTACTGGAACCGGAACAAAAATCAACATCATCATCATTAATGACGGCGATGTCAGTGTGAGAGGAGCGAGATGGCTCAGTGTCCAGAGCACAGAAGGTTCGTGATTCGAACCCGACCTCTGTCTCTCGACTTCCCTTGTCTAGGTTTAGGCAACTCAGCAGTATCCCAGCCCTCGTGCTCCCTTTGGGTGGCGTGGCAGCTACGCGCCGAAAGGGTGTTGCAGCTGAACGATTATTACTATTTATGTCAGTGTGAGAATACTGAAATGCATATAAACATGAGTCGAACGTATTGAAGTAGATTAACAAAAAAACAAATTGATGCCTTTTATTGAAGAAACACAATTTTTAGGACGGCGGCCGGCGACCAATTTGAAGACCCACATACAGGGTTCGAACCCGGGTCTTTCTAACCGAAGTACGCGACGTTAACCAATGGGTTACCTGCATATCTGGCTACGGGTATTTCTACGAACGTTTGTTCACACCCACCCAACCCTGCAATATTAAACACTGTGAAGGCGTCCGTTCAAGATGATAGACGTTTAATTAGGGTACCATTGGCTCAGAGCTTGTCAGTGTAGTCTAAGGATTCGAGCTCAGCACATACAATGATCAATGAATGCGAGCTTCAGGCCAGACAACACAGATCGATGCGTTTTGCCTAACACCGTATCTGTCTTGCCACGACATTACCTCGACTGGAGACGCTGCGTTCGGCGAAATGGCGCGAAATTGTGTTCACCCTGCATACCAATGTTAAATGACTTGCGTACAGGTTTTTTTATAAAACGAGCTCACCTGCAGTTCCAAAGGACGGCCAAGAGTGTCTTGTAGCCGAAGCAAGACCTTCTGGTCATAGGTATTGGGAGGGATAGTTAGTGGTTCGCATTTTGGGAAACCGTCCAAATGTACGCCGAATCTGAGGACCTCCGCTGGTGACAGCTGTTGGGAATAAAGGGGTACATTCACCAAGGGTATGTGACTAATATTTCGCTATGCAGAGGTAAATGATAAAGGAAACTTTGCCAAGACAATGTGACAACCTTAAACGTATACCACAGTAGCAGCATTGAGGCAGCCAAAATGAGGCCAAGAGGCTACCAAATATGGCAACGTCTGCGCGCAACATGGTAGTGGTGAGGGGACGAGTTAAACGAAGTCTGACAGACTATCTTGCAAGGGTCCTACATACCCATCTCAACGCGGCTGTGAAGGAGGTCTAACGTTTAAAGGTCACTTGGCGCACGCGTAAAACTTTGCAACCCAATCAAATCAACCAAAAATGTGTACGGTTCGGCGAAAGATGCATTTGCCCCACCTCCTGGGAATCAAATATCACTATGGGAAAAAAGAAATCGTTCAGCTGTAGCACCCTTTCGGTGCCTAACTACCATGCTACCCTAAAGTTGAAGAAGGCTGGGATACTGCCAGGTTGCCCAGGCCTAGATAGGGGAAGTCGAGTGGCAGAGGTCGGGTTCGAACCACGGACCTTCCGGTCAGTAAATTCGCGCTCTAACCACGTGGGCCATCTCGCCCTCCAATATCACTATGGAGAGAATAGGAACCTGAAACGAAGTAACCTGAATCGTATCCCACTACCCAGAGGCATGAAAGGAATCTCTTCGGAGTCCTGAATGTCATGTAGAGAGAGAGAGAGGAAGAGCCCAAAGTCGCTACTGACCACCATTCTCATGTTGAAAGGTTGTGATTCTCACTACATAAGCTTGATCGATAGAGCCAACCTGACTGCACGAAAGGTTGTGTTTCCTAGAAAGCGACACACAACTAATATCGAGCGAACCTAGCAAATGTGAACCGAAAGAGAGTGATATTTCTCGAGTTTTGTTGTCCACGGAACGCCCAAGTTGAACTTTTCTACTGAATAGCAATCACACTTTAGAACTGATCCATCCAATAGAGATAGTGTGCTGTACAATGCGGTATGCGACGCAGTTTTCGTCATCTTGATGTGTTGAGGATTTTGAAGAAAAACATCAAGTGCCGTGCTTTCCTCGTGTAGACAGTCAGGGCGAAGATGGGTAGATCAACATTTGGATGCGATAACTAAAGATGCAGGCCTCCTAAATTTTTTGTATCACTGTATCATATTAAAGAAAATCCAGATGTAGACGTAATATACTACTCGTAAGGTTGCTGAAAATTCTTCGACAGCCCACGACGGGTTTCGCTCTTCTTGGGGCTCATCAGGCAGGCGCAGTCCCCGAGTTTTCGTCAACCTTATATTCTACTTGAATCCAAAGTGCATGAAATTAGCGAAATGCACTCATTTGCAGACAAATTTGGTTTGGAAACATCATAAACGAGAGATTCGACTGGGTTCGATTTATTCACCGTTTCCATAGCGAGTGGGTCAATATTTGATAACTGAGAGCGATCACCTCAATTAGAAAGCTGAGAGAACCAAAAAGATGAGGCTGGTACATCTAATCTAGTCAATATCTATGTGGTGTGCATCAATCCTGGTTTGATAACTTGCGAGTGTTGAGGACCTCTCTGGGTTTCGAGCGTCTGAGTGGCCTAATCAACCTTGTGAACTCTTCAATCCGACTTGACGACGCGCAACATATAACCAGTCTCTGTTATGCTTATCAACAGCGATGAAAAAGGCCTGTTGATTTTTCATCTAGAACATAAAGTGTCCAACCATATGTAAAGGACAGAATGGTTTTCAAGGATGTACGACCTTCAATAATGCGAGTCAAATAGTACTTTGTTTTGGAGCACGTTTCAGCCCCACAGACAGAAATTACAATGGAATTACGACCCCAATCATCAAGGGAACCGGACTTGCCTGTGATACGACCGGATCCACGAGTCTGCTCACGTTTTCCTCATTAGGAGTGGTCTACTAAAACGCCTCTGGCCTAAGGCCACACACCGAGATGGTCTCTAGAGTGCAGTACTGTTGTTTGGGTCCCAGAGGGTTAAACCGCGTCGCAGCTTCTAATCGATAACGGGCTACTTACCTCATTCACACAAGCATCTGCTCCAGCAGAGATAGAACCTTTCACCATTGTTCCCGAAAAATAGTAAATCAAGTCACACGGCAGTAGATTGGTGATGCGCACTATGGGACCGAGTGTAATGTGATGACCCGGAAGGCACTTTGGGTTGGCCCGATTCGATGTGGAAAGCAGGCCGGTCCATAGTGGGTCTGGGGGGAAGTTATCACGAACCATGGCCAGGCACATGTTGTATTGTCGTGGGATACTTTGAGTCCGATGGTAAGAAATAGGGGCGCTGGCGCCGGGTGAAGAGACGGGAGTTGCTGCACTGTCCAGAGTAGCACTCAGTAGTCCAACCTGACCGGTTGCGGTCGAGCTGTGACAGACCAAAATGGCCTCGATGAGTTCACCTGTAACAAGTAAACGAGTTAAGGGATAGCAATGATATGCCAACCCACAAACAGCGTTCAACGTCAACCTGTTAATCACTAAAATTCGCCGACTATACATATAGTGGTGAGTAGTAGTCGAAGCACTTACCTGGTTGTTTCAGGTTAGTCCAGTCCAGATGTTTTGCAACCTCAGTCTCTGATAGTTCAGGAAGACTGCTCGAAACAGCCACTCCGGTGATAGTCTCAGATTGTGCAGCTGGAGTCGCACCCGGTAAGGAGACACCAGCCCATCCATAGGCAGCAAAAGATGGACCGGTCATCTGGCTGAACACCGAGGACATATTCCGGCCCGGACCAATGGGAATCAGGGTCGGACAAAAGGATAAAACACCGAATCCCGTGGACAGAACGGCGGCTAAATTGAGCGGCACTGCAGCTGTATCTCCGGAATCGATTAGACAGACGGGAATCCTTTGGATAGGTAGGTTGGGATCGTCTAATTGACTGGACCAAATATCCTCTGGAACTGAGTGAAGGGGAGCTGTGGGCGGTTGAAGTCCCACTAACAGTTGATGTCCGTCCGCAAGGTCATTGGTTATTGTCAATCCCGACCGTAGTACAATCACATGTTGAACAGAGGGACCAGTGCGTACAACCTCAATTACGAGACGGGTGAACTGGGGTAAGTAGTCTGTAAGCGTGAACACTTTGTCCTCATCGATATCCTGAAGCCAGAATATGTAGAAAAGATTGAATAGAGACACGACCATCGTGATCTGGAAGTGAAGTTGGGTCGCAAGCTAATAACCGTGTACACAAGTTTCAGTCACTGAGTTCATTCCCGAAAAAATGGCAACTGATTACGGTGAACTCTCACAGTAATGAACATCATATATTACAGTTGCTTACACTTGATAACTGGCATCACCATTTGTGCAGAACACCAGTGAGGTGGACACGAATACTACTGAACGCGTGATTTCAGCGACGTCCCCAGCGTCACTCCGTTTTCGTTTGTAGTTCCATCTCTAACCTTTGCCCAGTCAACTGCAGCCTACTTGGTAGCGCGAGGAGTTTAAGGTATGGAGCAGAACTGCATTTATGGCCGTTGAGGCCGGATTGTTCTGCGCGAATTCAGCTGCGATTGTCTTCATATGCTCGTCTCAGTTAAGTCCCTCAGGGTGCGCCAACCTGTCAAACTAGCAAGTCGGCTTGGTCGCTGTTATAAGTGAGAACCAGATGACTAGAAAAGTCAACTGATCACCGTTGCGTATAAGCGGGTCAACAAAGTGATACTAAGAATACAACTCATCTGTCAAGGACGAGTGAAGAACAACCGATGAAATCAATCTGTCTCAACGAAAGAAGACGGTTATTCCATTGGCTGTTATGTAGTCCCGTTACGTTCGGAGCTGGTTCTCCTGCAAAGCAGACTTTCTCAGGCATGTAAAGAATGTGATCCCAACGACTGTTCGTCCACTGCTGGTGAGCTGTCCCTCTGTAAACCAATCGGATGTGCTTCCATATTACTGACACAGTGACTCCGTTAGAGCGGTTGAAAACTGACGACCTTCTACACGCAGAAATCGCGGTTGAATAAACCATGAAAGACCGAAAATGAATAGAACTCACCTCTTCAAAGTCATTGCGTTCCAGGGTGCGGAAATAAATACCAAGTCTGTCAACTGAGATGGGATACGTCGGTTTCCAACCCGTGACACGAAACAAGAGGCTGGGCGGATTCGTGAGCAGAAGCACAGACGAGTCCTGAATCTTCTCGCTTTCGGTAGTAAGACTGGGTATATCGACAATCTCCTGCGCACTCCCAACATGGTACCAAGGCCGTGAATCCAATTCTTCAAGAGACCTTCCAGGGAGGGAGGGGAATCGATAAACTGTGTGAGATTACTCATTTGCACATCTAACTTCAGAGAGGAACCACTCACTCCCTCACCACAGAGTCCACAGAATGCAGCCAGCTAACAAAGAGACGTCACCCTCCAAGCAACGGCCAGCTCTACCCTATTCCCGTCTTGCTTGAGTGAGTTACCATGCTTGGGCTTTCATGATATCGAGTTTCCCATTTCACCCACACATCCCCATCAACTATAAATGAAAGACCATTGTATAATTTCGTGGTATCGGGACACACAGCGGTGCACTATGGACTGTAAAACCAAGACAGTTTGTATCAGCCGATTCCACAGAGTACAGTAACTGATCTGAATGTTGAAAATAGATCCCACCCGAAACAAGGTTCTTGTCTTTCCAAAAAACAACAACATTTGGGTCGACACGAACGTTACACAAAGAGAACCTTGGAGCAATAGATAATAAAAATACGGAGTCCTCAATCAACTGTCCTGTAAGCGAAGCTGGAAAGCCGAGAGGCACCGTACAGCTAATCATCAGCAGTGCGCAACTCACGAAACTGCAGGGAGTCTCGATACTTCCATAAGAGAATTCGTCACTGGAGTTGCTGGTTAACCCGTACGACCACGCAGTGTGGACTCCTTCACTGAGAGATCAGTGATGCTATACCCAGACTCACGAAACTGCAGGGAGTCTCGATACGTCCATAAGAAAATTGGTCACTGGAGTTGCTGGTTAACACGTACGACCACGCAGTGTGGACTCCTTGACTGAGAGATCAGTGATGCTATACCCCGTCTAAGGGCGAGATAATCACACTGTGACCAGCTGCCCGTGTTCAAACTGATAGCCGAAATCCCGCGTGTTCGAGACTCCCCGGAGTTTCTTGAGATCCTAATAGGTATGATACAGCTGTACGGTACTTCCCGGCTCTCTTGTCTTCGCCTACAGGATGAAATCTATATTGAAAATTCCAAAATCCCCTTATGCCACCAAGTGCGTAGAATTCTTGTTTGTCTTCCCAGTACGCGTTTATGCCACCAAGTGCGTAGAATTCTTGTACGCATGTGAATGGTCATTCAAGGAAACTAGTAGACTCGACGGCGAGTTAGCAGTGGTGGCTCCTTGGTTGGAGGAAAAGAGAATCGTTCAGCTGTAACACCCTTCCGGTGCCTAGCTGCCATGCCACCCGAAGGAAGCCCCAGGGCTAGGATATTGCCAGGTTGCCTAAGCCTAGACAGAGGAACTCGAGATGCAGAGGTCGGGTTCGAACCACAGACCTTCCGGTAAGTAAATTCGTCTTCTAATCACTGAGCCATCTCCTAATATCCAGTTGGGTCCACCAACGGGTTTGATGACTTCATGAGTTTCAGTCCACAATATTTAAGTTCACTTCGACGTGCAAATCCGTATGGTGTTCTCACAGAACAAAAGAATAGGCAGAATATCTGAAGATACTTTTTCCGATGAGAGATATCTGGTCACGTAGAAGCACTGTCAGTAGCAGTTCACAGAGGTCCAGACTGTCCAGCATGAGGCAAACATGATCAGTTTGTACAACTGCGTGTGGTTTGCAACCTCATTTAATACTCTTGAAAAATCAAAATCAAAAGGGAACATTTTCCTTCGAATTATTGAGTTAGTTCGACAGATAAACCCCTCCCAGATCGATCGTTTCGAGTGGTCGCTCAAGAGGGCGACAGTCGTACTATTTTTCACTATTAGGTGACCGCTGAAGGGTTCGTTTGAGGAAGCCCGAATTTCTTGGGCATTCAAAGTCGACAACGGTGGTCGGGCTTTCCAGAAGTGCACGGTTGCATCGTAAATGAACGAACGTTGATTTTCAACCAGTCCAGCTTGATTAGGTTGCGTGTTTGAAGCGCAATCAGGAATTGCTCAATTTTCAAAAGTGACAATAAAACTGCATCAATGAGCATTTCACTCATGCCCATACTATCAATTTTTACGGTGATTATGGCCGCTTTGAATGTTCCTTTTTTCGGGTTAGCTACGCCATTGACGTTTGGAAATGAAGGCGTCTTCGAAAGCTATGGTCCGACCAAAACGAGACGCAACGGCCGAGTGACTATCAAAGTTGCATCCTGACAGAGAATCGTCAGTAAAAAAGCATGATTTACCCCTCATTTTGAAACACTCCATCAATTTGGTTCATCGACAACACTTTGAAAGAAACATCGCAGCCGGTCCGGTTCAACAGACGAAATGGTGCAGCGTTTGTTGGATCGTCCGGACGTGTTGTTTCGTCCGACGCTGTCGTTGAACACACAGGCGTAACATCACATCCCGTCGAGTCTTGCTGTGTTGTTTCTAAGAGCCGTCGGACGAGAAGACACAGAGGAACGGTCAGGTTGAGATTGAGTGTTTCAGAAGCTGAAACGAACAATTAGGACAGTGTTATAGTGAAGCTTATATGATTCGACAGATAGTCAAGGATAAAGTCAATAGAAGACTTACACGTAAATATGACTGTGCTTGTCTTGGTGAACGAGTCGGTCAATATTTGATACCATTCCAGGGAACAGCTGCAGGCGCAAAGCAGTAGGGGAGAAAACAAGGTTATTCCGAGGTAATTGAAGAATCATATGAGACGGTCACCAAATTGTGCGCATTTTAAGTGTTCATCGTAAACGACAGTCCCCTGCATTTCCTCAAAAATAAAGATGCAACGGACGAGAGATTCAGAATGAATTCCACTGGATTTCCCGTTAAGACCAACTTACTTTGCAAGTGAGTGTATTTCGCGGATTTCGTACAATTCGGTGTCGATTTGAACACAAGGTTGACGGAAACTCTGGAAGTGGGCCTACTTGATGAGCTCCAAAAGGAGCGAAACCGGGCGTGGATTACCAAAGGGTTCTCAGTAGCCATATGAGTAGCATGTTCAGGTGGGCAAAAACTACAAACATCGGGCACATCAGACAGACCTGGTCTCCTGGTTCCTAGCTTGGAAACAAAACTGCACGCAGGTGGAGTTATACACCCACTTGAAAACTGAGTCAGTTTTCTGATTTAGGAAAAGCACCACTCATTTGCAGTCAGAGCTAAGCTCATTCCTGCTCAATTACTGTGGTTTTACAGGGTAGGTTTGATTAACAAGCCCTGAAAAGCGTTTTACGATTAGCCTGTGCACCACCAGAGAGCAGAACAACTGTTGACCACAGCGGTTGTGCTTTGAGAACGCTCGGCAGAAAGCACGTCCTTTGACACTTGGTTGAGATAGTAGATAGGTGAACGCCTATCCGAAATGTGGAATGAAGCATGCATTTCCATAGTTAGCCCAGAAACGTCTCTCGGTGGAATCAACAAGCTTTCTTCTGAATACCGAAACGAGCTTCACATGTTCACCCTTGGCAGATTTACTGACAACCTGATATCTATGGGTTATCACAAATCCACTGGACTCACATAGTGTGCCCCCCTATCACAGTCCATCAACCGCGGGAGACTGTGCCGGGCCTCTACTGAAAATCAGCTTTTTTCAGAGGGATGGATGACACATTGACATCATGTGGGGAATTCTGTTTGACACGATGACTTCCTTTGGGAGGATCTCTGGTGAGAGACAGTGCGAGGTATTGAGAGACAAAGGAGAAATGACCTGAGAAGTATGGAACCCATTGACACAAACGGCCTCCACGCCCACCTGATATGGCATTAGGACAAGACGTCACCAAAAGACATGCGATGCACTGCAGAACGAATGGAATTCGTACTGAATCGACAGAGCAGGAGTTTTCCTCATAATGATCTCACACAAAAGGAAGTCGGTTGTCGTTTGAGCTTCACAAGTACAATTCTAAAAAAAGATTCTCAGTTTCTCACGATGAAAGGAAACAGATCCACTTTTTCCATTGGTCTTCGCTCTTGGGCGATGTACTTTTGAAAGACATCGAAGTGCTGACGACTCGAATTGTAAACCGCGCACAGCCATTTCTACCGACAAATTACGGTGAGGTTCGTAAACCCAATAAATCGTAGTCAAAACCAGATCCTGTTGCCCGGTGGGCATGACGACCATAGTAAAGTCAGTTGAATCAATTTGATCAGTAACGCGTTCCAAAGTGTACGAACATTTCGGAACTCATACACAAACCCCAGAGCAGACCGAAGCACAGTTTTTATCATCAATTAACAGCTACTTAAACGCTTACGGTTCAGGAACATGTTGTGTTGGGATAGTGACAATTTCAGTAGTAAACAAGGTGTTGTCTAGAGGGTCCCACATTAGTAACGAAAGTAGAAATTATGGGGATAATTTGGACAGTTGGGGTGAGTTACCTCCAAGGCTCCAAGGCGGGTTCCCAGGCCACCAGATCGCGATTGAAATAGTTCAGTGCAAAGCCGTCTGCCTTTAAGACCCCGATGGGCGAAGTTTCTTCACGACACCAGGTAAGTGTTAATCCTGAAACCGTGGAAGGAGAGCGAGTAGGTAGAAAAATGCGAGGTCCGTCAAATTTGGTTGAACAGGTCGATACTACTCTGGGGCGTTAAAACTTCAGAGGTACAAATGAATGATGGGAAGGCATCAATGTTTGAGTACATTCCGATTAATGGACAGTTCTAGGAAGCATCTTATTCTTCCCGTGTACTGAAAGGATGCTATAAGGAAAAGATAATACAAGAATAATAATAATCGCTCAGCAGTAACACCCTTTTGGCGCCTAGCTACCATGTCACACAAAGGAAACACGAGGGCTGGGATACTGTCAGGTTGCTCAACCCTAGGCAGGGGGAGTCGAGAGGCAGAGGTCGGATTCGAACCACAGACCTTCCGGTGAGTGAATTGGCGCTCCAGACACTGGAGCCATCTAGCTACAAGGAACGGGTTGTTATCTCATGTGAGTGGGCGCGTTGGGTGACAGAGATACTCCGTTTGAAAAATTTTGATGACACTGTTCAACCAGGACGCATGAAGCTAAGATCGATTCAAAGGAAATTAGATAAATAAAGGTAGGATTTGATAATTAAATCTGATGAATAACCGGGCGCGTTATCTACCCAGTCAGATGGAGAGGATACCGGTTCAAATCTGGGAGGACAAACGTGCACAGGACGGAACCTGGCCTTGGAATCAATAAGCTTTTTGGAGTTGAAATCCCAGCTGTGTCAAACTTAACCTTATTTCATATCCACCCGAACAAAGTGTTTCGTTATAGTGTTTATATTATCTGAGCTGTCCGCCTAAGCAGAACATCATCTATTTGTCTTCCGACTAAGATTTCCGGTAACCAACGAAGTCGAATCCCGTGGGTTGAGGTAGAGTTGTCCCTCATTCACTCGTATAAGGATCGCTCTACAAAACCGCTTAACCATTCTCCGGTTTCTCCAGCAACGAATTCCCCAATAAAGACTTCCTCCAATCAACGTCTACCCAACGACAGTGCGCTGAGTACCCTTATAGTGCAAAGTGGTCCTTACAAAATTCAGTGAAACCATTTCACTATGTTGATGGCTTCTCATTGCGCACATTATTGAATAACTCATAATTCCATGGTACGCATCACGTGTATGCGGGTGGCAATTAGACCGATTTGTCACCTTAATCCGAAACCCATTTGATAGCGTCTGTTTCGACATTGACGACCTGTAAAACGGCCCAAACTCCCAGTCATTGGCTGCACGGGGTTGCGAAGGCCAAGTTGCTTTATCCCCAAAATGACAGTCACTGAGCTTGGTCTCTGCATCGGTCTAATTCACACCTACTTACACGGGGATTTTTTTCAAACTCTGACTGACCTGACGTTCTCCGATTCCGACATGGCTCCTAAGCGTGTATTCGCTCCTATGACATCGTCCGCTTGGTTCTCTGGGTCAATATAGCTACTTTCCAAATAGACCGGAAAGAAAGAACGCAAACGTCGCTTGCTATAGAGGAGAATGCTGGTAGCTCAGGTAGCATAGATGGTCGTTAGTTTGTTCGGTGAGCTGGGGAAATGCCGTTGTTGTTGATGGCTCAAGTGGTTAGAGCGCGAATTTACTGACAGGAAGGTCCGTGGTTCAAACCCGATCTCTGTCTCTCGACTTCCACTGTTTAGGCTTCGGCGACCTGGCAGTATCCCAGCCCTCGTGCTTCCTTCGGGTAGGTTGTCAGCTACGCACCAGAAGGGTGTTACAGCTGAACGATTATATTATTTTATATTATGGTTGTAAATCATGCGTAACACATTCCCATCCTTACTCGCCAACATTTTCCCCTAACAAAGGTCAGTTAACAGCATTTCTCAACAAATTAGGGTACGCTCATACACAGACTTATCATTCAACGACGGCAATATGATAAGCTTAATCGTGAAACACACAAATCCGTCCTGGCATTTTATGACGGCGCAACTCCTATGCGGACCTGCTGTTTCAACTACTATGCTGTATCAGAAGCTTGATGTCGATGTGCTCCGTCCAACTATCAGACACGTGTTTGCTGTGCACTCGTCCAGTCCACATGAGGTTCGATTATTCCAAGTGACTCACTCCCTAAGCACTGGGCGCCTACCGTGAGAAGATAGCCCGATCACAATATCGCCTCCGTTTGTTCCACTTAATCTCAGAATGTGGTGTCGCACCTACGAGCTTCTTCATACAAACTTAAGAGCCTTTAAGTACTGATATATATACATATATAATAAAATATTGCATGACATTATGCACATTATATACTTGGGAAGCTCCTTCTAGTTGATTTACATTACATCGTGAGAGGCCTAACAGCCTTCACAGATTTTTTGTTCCAAGGTTTGAGGTACCAAAAAGCGAATAAGATCAAAACAAACATGAACCATGCAGGGAGCAGCTAATGTTTGGTATTGAGGGGAAGTTTGATAGCTCAGAGAGCGTAGATCATCGTTGTTTTATTCGTTTAGCTGGGAAATCTGATTGCACAGTTTTATCACCAATCGAGGGACATAATCTGTGCGTTGTTAGGGGGGCGTAGTGGAGCGTAGCGATGGGTCGATGGTTCTGCTTTGAGCAGCGCTGTGTGTGTTAATATACGTGCTTCTAGCCAGGGCTGAACTTCGATCATGATTGGTCGTTCGGTTAGCGGTTCATTGATTGGCCTGTTATCCTGTGTCCTAATTGGCTCACATGTCCATCGACAAATCAGGAAAAAAGCTCACAGACTAACCAACGGAATCACTCGACACTGTTCAACTTGCGGTCACCGACCTAACGCTACGCTTCAGTACACCCACTAACAACGCACTACTGATGTCAGGTCGATTGGCGATGAAATGTTTGCAATCAAATTGACTAGCTTGGCGAACAAACCAACCACCAGCAGCTAATTTCTAGGGTTGGTGGGAACACGACCAAGGTATCGTAACATTTAACTTGAAATTCAAATGATAAGGGGTGTTCAACCTGTAAATGAACGTAGGAGCGAAACCGCAGATGACAGGTAGTGAAAAACTCACGTGGCAGGAGGGCGTCGAATATAGGGACAAGGTAACGTAGTTCAGAACGGAGGATTCGTACGGAGAACCCAGTTTGGATCTATGGAACAATCAACAGAATAAAAAAATTACGGGGAGCGGGGGGAATCGCAGTGAATCCAACAACTACAAAACATATTTTTGAAGTTTTGTCATGAAAAACAAAACCAACCCGTGGTGGAAGGTATTAGGCATCCATTCCATTCTTGCTTGGAAACACTGTAGCTCGCAGAATCCCTAGATGGGATTTCGATCGCTATACTACTCAGCCACGGGTGGTTGATCAGCAATGGGGTCAACTGACACAAAGACAGAATACAGTGTCCCCTCAAGTGGAAATCCTTCGGAGGGATGACCAGTGCCAAGAAGGTCGCATGAATTTTACGGTTACAACTACATTTAACGAAAACCGGCTCCTCGGAAGGAACAATCTTTGATTCCCCACAATTAGAATAGGCTGGAAACCGCAATAAAATAAACTTCAGAAAGGAAACAGACACGCATTGATCACCCTCAAACGCGTTTTGGCATTCTTGGTTCATTCAACCCATAGTCATCATCATCAGGGACGTTAACATAAATGTTGACGCGGATGCTTCACGCCTTTTAAACAAAAATTTCAACCATATTTAAGACAGAGTGAGAAGAAAAGAATAGTTGGGGGAAGGACCAGATCACAAGGCGTCTGAGGTACCTTCACCAGATAAACTGGAAAAAACTGGCAGCAAGAACGCCAGTGACACCAATTAAACGCCATTTCTCACATTATCTTCAGGCGAGCGGAGGGAGAGCAGGTCTAGGGGAAGGTGGACTGCACTACCAATTTCTCAATGCCTTCATAACCCCGCTGCATTTATTGATGGCAAGTCATACAGGGTTGCACTTTCAAGTCAGAGATCAGGTCATTTTTCCACCTGTAGCCCTCAGCTGCGAATTAGTACGCTTGGATGAGATGATGGACCAATGCGTCATTTTTCGGTCGTTCATGCGGCCTGTCTTCAGAGGTTGGGACCGATGTTGACGATGAAGTGGTCATATGTGCCCTTAGGACAAATGCACATACGCAAGGAACCCTGTACGATCCGGTTTTCTAATGCGTCAGCACAAGACCGCTGGAAACCCTGCGTATGCAAAAATAACTGTTTCTGATCTGATTGAACGTGGCTAGAGTCAGGTGTTTTGAAAATGTAGCAGAGAGTGACAGCATGACGATTAGATGAAGACAAGATGTGGTGCTGCCAACCGATCGGACGACCATCGGAATCGTGCATCGGCCGATCGCGAAGAGGAATACGATGACTAAAGCGAATCGAAGCAGCTTCAGTCCAACGACATGGGAACACGGCGTGTTGCTAGACGAGCATGGATACACGCACATTCATGTAGCCAAACATCGTCATCGTTCGATACCACCTGTTCATTGCCTCACCTGTCACATATTCACTGAGACAGCGTGAAATCTGAAATGCTCCGACCATCAGTTGTAGCACCCTCTCGGTGACTAGCTACCCATGAGTATGCCAGGCCGCCCAAGCCTAGACACGGGAAGTGGAGAGGCAGAGGTCGGGTGCGAACCACGGACTTTGCGGTCAGTAAATTCGCACTCAAACCATCTCGCCCCGTGTAGCTAAGCTGATCACGATGATATCTTACGGGGCGGTATGATGTTCTGCAACGTAGGCGATCCACGGCTCTGTTAGACCTTAAACCGAAATGGTTACAGCTCGTGGATTGAGCGAGTTGAATGACGGATGCGCCGTAGAAAAAAAACATTTAGAATTATGTGAATAAACAACAATTTTTATCTAAAAAAAACTGTGGGAAAATGACTTCTGTGAGAAAGGGGTAAAGTCAGACCATAGGTCGTTTGAGGTTGGGAGGGTACCAAAGTAATGACGTGTATGAAGGGAGCATATGAAGGAAGCGTATTTCGTGTTGAAAAGTTGGTTGACTGAACCGTGAAGAACACAAAACACGTAGTAAAGTACAGTAGAGACTTAGATTGTCGAGATATCCATTCTCATACATTATAGGGACAATCCTGCCGACTGAGTCCATTTAGGTGCTCCTCTAGGATGGCCCTTATGCGAGGGGACGATCGCGGAAAGACTTACAAGCTACAGTCGAAGATTTACACTGGCAAGGCAAAGTTAACCATCGATGTCTTCAGAGCATTACCCGAATCTGGTGGGAACACCGAGTGAGCAATTCTGAAGATCGTCGAATGGTACTCGGAGGAAATAATACACCCTCGATAGATGAACTGATCACACTGCATAGGTTGCGCTGGCTTGGCCACGTGCTTCGTATGCCAATCGACCGACTTCCTCCTTTTCGCACAACCACGTGAAGGGTAGAAGAGAACCAGAGGCGGTCAAACAATGACTTGGCAACGAAGTATGAGAGCCATTACCAGAGAACTCAGCTGCGCTGGTCATTGCCATCTTCCTGGATGGGGACCCCGAGACGGGCCACATCAATGGCTAGAGACATTGTCAGTCGCGCCCTCGATGGCGCTCGTGCATCCAAGCTATTGCCTTCAATACATAGCTCCCTTACCAATCCCCTCACTTAACAGTTCATCTACAATGCTGTATTTATGCACTAATTTACCAGCTCCCGTCTCCAATGCCCAGCTACCCACCCCATCTTCCCAAATCATCGGTGAACGAAACTGTGGCAGCTACAACCACTGTTCGACAAGTACGCGGTTATTACAGCTGACAATGATGATGATGACTACATAGACAAGTGGAATTGCTGATCAGCCGCTCCTAATCGAAAGGTACTGGCAAACTCAGAAAGTCACAGTTTCGCACCCTCCTCGTATTCCAGGAGATTTATGCGACGTGTATCATTTCCAAGCTGAGGTGGCACTTTTTAGTCTCCCAGCACAGCCTGAATTCATTCCATAGAGTGCTCCTTCTCGGGAGCGTTCCTACCGTACGATGACCACTCTGTTGATATCTTCCACGGAACTTGGCGAAATCAACAGAGAATCCGCATTGCTGAAGGACTATTCCCCCAACCATTACAGATCACAACTTTTCAAACTCCTTTGAATTCATTCCGCCACCGTCTGATTCCCCCAGCATGACACAAGTGATGGGAGCTTAAGAGAACACCTGCAGCGAATAACAGAATGACCAACAACCCGGGCAAAATTAAGGAGCTCAACGTTAAACATTTTCTAGACAGGTCCCAGCTCCAGGATCCACAGTTTTGCTCGCCCTGCAGCTTCTGTACGTCCGAGTTCAGTCACCACCCTAAACACTTCAAAGTTTGTTTTCAAATCCAGAGAGTCTGTCATGTACAGTTAGTATCTGCCACTGTAAAAGACTGGTAAAATCTTGTGATCTGCAAGAGCTATTTGAGGAGTTCTCTCACCAAAGCCCAATTGAAACCAAACCTGTATACAATGGCTACGATAACACATTTGAGTCGCAGAATAAAAAAAAACATTAAAAATACCCAAGAATAAATAGAATCGAAAGTATCCAGAGTGCCTAAAAACCTTAAAGCGTCGTCCCTACTGTGAGAGGGATGAACATTGGAAGACCGGTTCATAAAAAAGAATACCCATGAAGGGCATCTAAAGTTAGTAACCCTGCTAACCTTGATATCATGCACAAAAGGGGAGATCCAATTTGCTAGGCTATCCAATCGCTGAATCCAGCTGGCCACGGTGAAAGGCCTCCCTCCGGTGTTTTCGTTCCCTTCCAAAGGCTTGACAATTTTGACTGAAAAATGCAGAGGAACGACAGAAGGAATGTGAACACCCTGACAAGTGGTGTGCGGTGGAAATGTTACCCCGGTTCCATCAGTGTTTACTCTTGATAACAAATGCTGATCGGAAGCTGATCCGAAGAAGGCGAATATGGCATTACTGGACCAAAACAGATCCAGAATTCAACAATAGCGTGAGAATTTCGTTATCCAGTTAGTGTACAGCTTTCCATGTGCACTTTTAGTTGTGTTCTAACATCATATGATCCCAAGAGCGCGAATTTACCGGCCGGAAGGTCCATGGTTCGAACCCCACCTCTGTCTAGGCTTGAGCAACCTGGAGGTATCCGAGCCCTCGTGCTTCCTACTGTGGCATGGGAGCTAGGTACCGAAAGGGTGTTACAGCTAAATGAGTTGGACGGTTGCGGTGGAGAATACCCGCTTGAAAGGGACCTCTTTATAATCGCCTACTTGTTCATATTCAGTATACGTTCGCGCATTACCACACTGAAATAACAGCCTATCCGGAGCAGATTTTTGTCTATGATGGAACAGTGAAAAAAGTACACCAGCGTTACTTCGCCGTCGACTTCCGACATTTGTAAAATCCAGATGAATAAGCCTTATTGGAGTGTCCAGGTAAGAATCTTTGTTGACACATCCGGAATGATGGTGGGAAGACTGACCTTGATCACTGGCTTGAGTCCAGCTCCCATTAGTTGACAACAAGGTCAGTAAATCTTATCAAACAGGACCTAATGCATTTCCAAGTGCGAATATGCCACTAAAAGATACTTTGGAGGGGACACCGTGGATACACCACCAATACTGCAAAATGGGCACCTAGTGTTTGATATAACAAATATGTTTTGCGCTATTCGCGATACCTGAAAGTGACTGAAAACGTATACGTTCACCGCTTTCCGACTGGCCTGTTTCGCATTGTGAAGATGTTCAAACGTGAAATTTCCAGCAGGAAACAAATAACTCAGTAGGGAAGTCATGCAGGAAAGTCTGCAATCCATCTGCCAAGCCCAGCGGGGCGGGGGAGCTCCCGAACTACCCATATTTTGGAAATTATTTGTTCATCGTAGTTCTAGTTAGAAGCTCCCAGTGAATTATAACCGGTGGAGAGGGAAGCTTGCTGCTACGACTTACCAACCACAAAGCGATTGGAACAAAAAGTAAACAAAACAGTTTTCTAGAGATCACATACTCTGACCATCATCGGACGTATGCTCCGTAGAGTTAGGCTCGGAGATTTGACGTCGGATCAAGCGTGCCATAGAACGGAGCTTCCGAATGATGTGTGGAGACACACGGACTGAGATATTTGAAGTTGTGCAGACCACGTTCAGTTTTGGGGGTCGTGGTGGCTAGGAGGAAAAATCGAGGAAAAACCGAACGGTGTAATTATAAAATCCTGTAAAATGAGAGCTATCTACAAGTTAATAGATAATAATCGTTCATTCCGGTGCCCAACTGCCATGACTGAGAATGTCCAAGTTTAGACCGGAGCATTTGAAATTCCGAAGCTGGGTTCGAACCGTGGACCTTCCAGTCAGTGGGTTCGCACCTTAAGCACTGAGCTACCTCGCGCGACAAGGACCACCAGTGTGGCAGGTGCACCGTATCACCAATGCCGAGGACTAGTCAGACGTTAGATGATCTAATCGCGCTCTACCAGACACAATGACGAGGCCACGGCATACAGACTTGGAAATCAGGCATGCGAAAAGTGACTGGTTAGCTGAACCATCATCCTCACGTCGAATGCGAAGGATAGAATACATGATCCCACATCGGTATTTGCAACTCGTCCAACCAGATGCATTAAGGAGTTTTGCGGTTAGCAGTGGAGCTGGTGCATCGCTTAAGCATACAACCAAATGTCACCGCGAAATTCTTATCAAAATAGAGTCCACTCTACACCTTAGTTAAAAGGCGGATGCATAATGAGCGGGTTTTGCTGACTAGAAAATCACTCGGTGTGTAAGTTTACATAACAAAAAAACAAACAGTAAGGTTATCAATACCGGGGTCGAGTCCATATGTTGCCAGTTCGTCCAACCTCTCCAAAGGCGACCGGTAGCTACCGAGTTGGACAGCGACATAGGCTGCGAACACTGACGCCTGACGCCGGGTAGAGATTGCTGACTTGTGGAGTGAACGGGCTGGTCACGTGACAAATCCAAGCGAGCTGACTGTAAGTCTACAATATGATGGGCTCGTCTATCACAGGTCAGACGAAGACTGACTGTGTGAAGACATAAATGAGCACAAGGGACCGTGGTCTTCCAAACACCATTCAGGTCCGAATAGGCAAGCAGGATGGTGCCCTGTGGGAGAAGCGAAGAGAGGAAATGTGAGTTAATATCAACAATACCACTATGGAGCGACGGTAAATGCATGACAATGGATAGGAAGGAAGCTTTACTGAAAAAGAGATCAGGCACTGATCTACCGTCCTCAGGAAGAGAACATATGCACATTTTGCTCAATCTAACACCGAATACTAATGAGGACTATCTGAAACTCTTCGTGCTTCGAAGTTTCGTCCCCAAAAACACTGGTTCCGCTATAGTGCACGATTATTAGTCAAAAGGTTTCCAAATTGTGACGAAGTTTCCGAGGTGGCCGAACCGGGATGAGTAGACATTCAATGTTATGGGGTTACGGATAGGGTCGACTCTGAATTGAGCTGAACTCACTTGAGAGTCCATAACAACGTTCCTTGTCTGACAGCACCAACCGTCCCCCCCCCCCCCACCCCCGAAACAGAGGGGTCAGTTCTCTACGAGACAACAAACACTCCCTTGCGCGCGGTGATCATTCTGGAGAGAACCACGGTACAGTAGCCTCACAGGGAACAACGACCACCCATGATGAACGACTCGAATGTATAAAGTAAGGAGGATGGTCTCAATCGCGCGGCGCACTTTGATAGACTGCATGCCATGACGCGTTGTAGCTAGCATGGTAAGATGGCGACCCACTCTTCTCCACAGTAAAACACAAGACTCTCACGTTGGGACTTTGGACTTTGGGATGGTGTCTAAAAGATCACAAATTCCAAAACCCCATCTAACGGGAGACGGAGAGAGTTGAGGGAAGGAAGGACGGAACTACAGCGTGTTTTGTGGTGATGAATTGCATACAAATGCCTGAGCGCCTCTCATAGGTTGGATGCTTCTCAGGATCAAATTACCTTTGACAAGTGAGGATGCCCTAAAAGAGGACGTGTACTACAGATCGGGATCACCAGTCTAAGCTTCAAAGGGCACTGTCGACGCGAAGATAAGCGAGGAAGGGACAATCCAAGCTGGTACTCATCGGAGAAACCTGGCACATAAGAGAGCCAATCAGAATAGAATGGACGGCAAACAACGGAGTTCCGGTATGGAAAGGTGAACAGAACAACGATGAAGGTAAATGTACTGTTCCCAAGGCAGGATAGCCTTACCTGAAGGAGGATTGAACTGGACTTGGCACAGTCACGTGGTCCAACCAACTCAAGCTCGGAGTTTTCTGCGCACAGCTGATATGCGAAAGAGGACTGCGGAGGAGCTGACTGAGGTGGGCTGGAAAAAAATGAAATTCCGTTCACGACGATCTACTCATGAGTGAAATAGGATAGGTAACATTTGGAAATGTGGTAGCGGACTTATTATCGACAGCGTTCAACAAGAGTTTGTAATACATCGATAAAAGAGAATGATACAAGACAATTTTTGAAAATGATGGGGGCGGTGTCTGAAGCTTCCAGCATAGGTACACACGACATACAGAAAGAGCAAATGGACTGCTAACCGGTGGGGTTACTAGTGACCACATACTTTGATAAGGACGAACCAAGCAAAAAAACGTTTCGTATTGAAATTTATCGCTCCATTCCTCCTCAAAGAAGGCTGATCTGCCGCCGGGAAGTAGAGGAAGCTCGACAGATTCACAGATGGAAAAGGCTCAAGCAGACCATTCAGTGGACAGGCACTCATAACCACTGCCCAGTGACTTTCTACTGCTCCATTCAAAAGTATTTAGCGGTCCAGAAAATGAATACGGCCAACTGAGTTCGAATCCTCGCGGCCAATAGAACTTGGGCGTTTCAATGATGTAACGTGGAAGACACAGTGGAAAACTTTGGGAGAGACGGCAAGGGATTGCATCCAGCACTAAACATTCCGCGTTATGCGTACCTAGTTATCGAAACGATATTTTCTTTCCATGCCCACTCAGAAGCAGACGACTCGTGATTTTTCAGGGGTGAATGAAGGAGTTCCGAGAAAATCGAAGTGCTCGGGCGTGCTATTAATGGAGGAGTTCACGTGACATTCTCTACGTTTGGCCAGGAAAGCTGGAAAAGATGACAGCGCTAGTAGTTCAGTTCCCATCCACAGTTCCTGAACAAGTGGTGGAGGTGTGGGTGCGCTGAATATTCTACCTCTTCTTGTGACTCTTTGGTTGAAGAGAGAAGTCATCTTGGAACAACTTGGGACATTGAAGGTAGCGATAAAATCCAGCTGGGTTTAATAACGTACGGAGGAAAAAATCAAAGTCAGAAAACTTCGTAGGAAGTCTTCGTTGGCTTACAGAGTGGCTCGCGTTCGCGTTAGCGACCGACCGACTGACCAACACAATATGGAAACATGTATTGTTCACACGACAGCGGCACCATAGTCTGTAGGGACTTTGTGAACCAACAATTACACCGGCTTTGTATAAGAACCGTGTACGTGTCTTACAGTGGTTCTAGCTGCCATAGTTTCCTTCAGCGATGATTTGGAGTGGGGTGGGGTAGATAGCTGTGCAATGGAGGTGGGAACTGGTAAATTTGTGAGTAAATACAATACTGCCAGTGGGATTTCAAGTGGGGTAATTGGGAAGGGACCTATGTATTGAAGGCAATAGCTTGGATGCACGAACGCCATTGAGGGTGCGACTGGGCCATGTTTGACGACTTCTCCAACCATTGATGTGGTCCGTCTCGGGGTCAACACAAAGACCAACCAATGTATTAGGATTCTCGTCGAATCAATCACGACAGAAATCAGATCAAACCATACAACTGCTGCAAACTTCCGTCACAGAGCTGCCGTCCGTAAAGCCTATAGGAAGTGCAGAGACTGAGATATAACTGGGTTTTTGAAGTTCAGAAACAGGAAGCCGGGAAATCCAGCGGTGAACTGTTCCGTCAAAAGCATGCACCTGAACCGAATTAGGGTACCACAGAGAGTCACACACAACACGAAACAGAACGGCGAGGGTGTTGATTTTGGATTCCAATTAGGCTCCTAAAGTGCTCCGAGCTGGGACAACCTGGCAATATCCCGATCTCGTGCTGCCTCCGAGTCACTCGACACAATTAAGACTTAATAAACACAAGTGCATCTTGATGAAACACTACTCACAAGATTGCTGAAAACTCTTCGACAGCCTATGACCGGTTCCGCCCTTTTTCGGACCAATCCGAGCTCCGGTTGACCTTATGTTCTTGTTGAACCCAAATGAAATGCAGTTCGTGAAATACATTAATTTACAAAAAAATTGGGAACACAACGGTAACAACCTACTCAACAGAACACTTCGAACTCGGAGGGCTTTTCAAGAAGACTAGTAAACGAGAGAAGGCATTGTGGTGGTACAGGATACGCATTCGGTCCAGATGAAGCCAAAGTGCTGCAGATCCATGCAGGTCCATAATGTACTGTAGCCAGAAGCAGTAGACCACGGAAGATGTCATCGAATTCGGACGAGATCCTCGGGACTGCACTCCGTCGTGCAAAAGTGGATCGACTGGAGCGATGATGGCTAATTGGGAAAGGAAGTAGCCCATGGAAGTGCGTAAGAAAGGTGAGGAATTCTAATGATAGGATACTGTCCAAGTCATTCGGTCTTGTGCTGCCTAAGTGTTCGAGACTGTCTCTATTAGGTGAGAAAGAATCGGTTCGAATAGACGCTGGAGCGGTATATGCACATGGTACAAAATTTAGAGGACGGGGTAACTGACACACTCAAAGTTACCGCGAATGATGTAGACGTGTCAGAAATGTTGTAGTTAACGGTCATTGAAGCTCGGTAGGGGAGAAGGACAAGGAGGTGCACAAGATTATGGAGACTGTTACGTTACCCCTACGAGTGTCAGTACAATACATGAGTAACTGACGTTCCCCGTGTACTGCGTACTCTAGTATCCCTTAAAATCAGGCGGTATCAGCAAACAAGTGCAGTAGAGGCATAACAGAAACAACAATGAGGATGTGATACCGACCAAACCGCACTCCCTACTGTGGGAATCGGACAGAACACGACCCCTTTTTAGTGCAGTCCACTCATACGACTCAACGAAAACAGAGCGAAACCGGATAGTCTAATCTCATGCAATTTAACTCACCTTTATTCATCTGTGGATCGATAAAGCGCACCTTTGTACATTGAAGTCCAACAAACACACGACGATCTGACAGAGCATCAAAGGAAAAACAAGCCAACCGGAAATCAATGCGACTGTGTTCCCCGGACCCGGAAGATCCATTGGCGTCGTCGAAACAAAGGAATCGGACATTTTCCATGGGGATCTCAAACGAAAACACGGTCCACGGGATGCCGGTGATGGCAGTCTTTAACACGGACAGAAGAGTTCGGAAAGTAAAGTACGAATTGGAATATTGGAAAAAAATGAATAGCAACAAGCCTACACTCTAACATGGCAAGACAGATAATTGAAGTGAAAATAATGTTCATATTTCGCTCAGGAACTAGACATCGCTGACTTTGAGAAGTATAAAAATGCTCCAGCCTGAGAACACACAAAAGTCAGTAATGCAAGTTTTTCCGCCCGTCTGTTAAATCTGAAGGAACGTTTGCGTTACAAATCTTCCGCGGTAGTCCCTTCACACAACTCGCCGGGATCTCACCACCTTTGAAGAATGCGACGAACGGATCATCCGTACCATGCGTCCTGTCGGAAAATCTCGCGCTGGATTTCTGTTGCAGTGACGATGTTCCATCCAGGCCCGATGGAATCGTACAGATGAGTTCGGACGGTAGCTCGTAGCGGATGCTGTTGCCGTTTTAGTTTAGCAATCTATACACAAATGCAAGCAGCTATTGCAATGGATTGGTTGCTCACTATTGGAACACCGAACCTTGGTCATCAGAAAATGAGAACAGGATAGAAATTTACCAACGGGCTTCTAGGCAGTTAATAAAACAACCGAACAGAGAGAGAGGTGAGTGGAAATGTCAGGCCGTTCGAATTACCCAGAAAATTTGGTTTCCGCGCGGCGCCCAGTAAAAGTGAGACGTAGCGGCTCATATACCAGATCTCATATTGACTAAACAAAAAAACGGACCCAATTGTGCAATCGTGAAAATAGGTTACCCGGAGAGTAACCCATGAAAATGGGAATAGAAACACCCTATTGAGAGAACGAAGCGGTCTCAGGATTCCAACACGAATGGTTCATCATGGGTAGGTAACTAGTGTAACGGTGATACTACTGATGGGGAGGTACGCGAGTAGTATGTTTTATGGTAAATTCGTTTTGCGTCTCTTAAAAAGGGAGATCTATTGCGGAATTCGTGGAGTCGCTTTGTAGCATTTGCTTGGATTTGAGCAACAGTCAATGAATATCCAGGAAAGTTCAGAAAGAAGCGTTCAAAGAGATACATATGAGAGTTTTGCTTCCCTGTCCAATAGTCTGTAACTGATCAGTTGGGATTTCCTAATAAATAACTCCGCAGTGGAGGCCTTCTTCGTTTCACTAGTACGCTTGATGGTTCCATGAAGAGTCTTTCTCGCAACTAGAAAGTTATTGGGTCCATCTTATGGTGTATTGAAGCTGTAACCAAGCATAAAGGAGCAAATTGGCGAACGACCGATATTTGGGCCGTTTATAGTCTGTACTCAACCCCACTGTCACGGAGCTCAGTAGACGGAAAACAGCACGCGATTCGTCTTACACAGAATGGAATGCATCACGTTGAATAGTAACCACTAGGCAGTCACTCATAACAGTGATGGATGGCTTCCGGACGAGACGTCAGAATAATTCAGTTTTTGCAACTTCATGCGTCTGACTCAGTTTCTAAATGGTTGAGAGTGAGCGTCATGTACAGCACAACTGTACGTGTATATCACCGTGGGAATGAGCCTCCTCAGGCGTAAAGTGGCCCATTTAAAAGCCAATTGTACCTATGTCTTTGATCACGCAATCCACATAGTGTTCATTGGTTTGCCATAAATTGTCGCGTCGAGACGCTCAACTGAATTGCAGACAGCCCGACTAATCAGACTGAGCGTGGGTTAGAAATATAGCGGATTCGCCATCCTGTTCATTGGTTTGCCATAAATTGTCGCGCCGAGACGCTTAACTGAATTGCAGACAGCCCGACTAATCAAACTGAGCGTGGGTTAGAAACATAGCGGATTCGCCATACAGTCGTCTGATCGACATACATCATCATGAGAAAACAGGATTCCGGAAACGAGACGCAATTTTTAGACGCATCAGTAAGTGACGAAAAGTCTATCGAACCTTGCGGTTTCGTTGGAACCGATCGATCGCCACTCGATGAACCACAAACTATGCAATCTGCGCTAGCAACAGAAATGGGAAGCATCAATGACAAAAAGTGCGAAACATTACGCTGAATCGCAGGTTGCCAAAGAAGACAGAGGACAGACAGGGAAATGGAAAATGATATAGACCAAAGAACTGTTTGATGTGTTAAGGATTATCATCACTACGTGTTTTATCAGCGTAACGGTATATACTACTGAGAAAGCATGCAAGCAGTATATGGCTGGAGTCCAAGCCCCGCCTCCAATGAAAGGTGAAGGTTACTACGGAAATTGTGGAACCGCTTTGTAGTGTTCGTTCAATATCGCATAATATTCAATGAACGCCCAGGAGAGTTCAAAAGGACGCTTGAAAATATTCAATTTTGAAAAACTGTGTCGAATGGCTTGTAACCGTTTAGTTCATGTTTGATAATAAACAACTTAGAAGCGAAGGGCTTTCCTTCATTTCCTGGTACATAATGTAGTAGAAATCAGAAATCCCCAGAGTTTAACGGCAGAACTGAGAGATAAACAACCCGGTTATCCATCACTGGACTCTACAGGAACGACGCCGTAAGCTTTTGACAGGAGCTCGGTGTGGCAAATAAGACAAAGCGCCAGCCTAGCTTTAGGGGCAGTCCCGTGGACAAAGCATCAATAGCTGCAGCAGAGAAAAACCAGCGAAAATGGACGCGGCAGATGAGCGAATAAACGGGGAGAAACACTACCTAACAGTGGGGTCCGTCACAAGAAAGGACGCACCTGTAGACCAGCTTTTAGAGGATAGTATGAAGGATGACGAAGATCACGCAGCTGAGGTAGTTTGAATCGATCCAGCAGTGATCCAGCAGATGACGACTCCGTTTTGTCCTTTCCAGAACCCGCATCACCAAAGTTGTGGGATAACAGACCACGAACCACACTGTAGATGTGCTCGTTTAAGTAGATTTGGATATCCGTCAGTGGAGTGACCAATCGCCAATCAGGTGAGTGATGTGAGCGCGCGCTGTGCAAATTACGTTCTAGTCGAAATTGCATGGATTTCGCATCAAACAAGGTGCGCCGGAGTCGGTTCGGTTGTTGACCAGGAGTGACCAAATAATCGGAAAAGTGAAGGCATTGGACCAGGGCATCTGATGATGGAACGATAGGGCTGGAGGCTGAAGTAACATTCAGAAACAATAGGAAATATTGAAGTACAAATACCGAGGTCACGTGCTTATTCCTCAGATGCCGACTGAGCGCAAAATTATCCCTTCTGGAAACCTCTCACGTTTAAAAACAGCAACCAACGTCCTCGTGTTAAATAGCGTACTTTATGTCAGGTAACGAATCAAACAAGGATTGCGATTCCAGAGGATTCTCCGACTCAGTGTAAATGAGATTTTTACCGAACACTCAGACAGTGCTTGAGATAAGTTGGAAACAATGGATCCAGCGGTTAGAGTGATCCTTAGGATAGGTCCACGTCAATGATCCGGTTGTGAGTTCAATTCCCTATGATCAACATAGCCTACTCTCCAAGCCATATACGTTCAGGGGGGAGATGGCTCAGGGGTTAGAGCGCGAATTTACTGGTCAGAAGATTCGTGGTTCGAACACGACCTCTGCCCCCCGAATTCCCCTGTCTAGGCTTGGGCACCCTGACAGTATCTCAGCCCTCCTTTGGGTGGCATGGCAGCTAGGCACTGAAAGGGTGTTACATGTGAACGAGCCATAGTTAAGTGTTGAAGTGGAAGGAAAGTAAGATAAAGTGCGTAACATTGGAAAACAGGAATATAACACATTGCTAACCCGATCGACACGGCATCGAAGGCGCGGACAACCGAAGAAATCAGCTTAATGCGAAAATAGCGTGAATTCGGTTAGATGGCTAAAGGGAAACGCATTGTCCAGGGATGTTGAAAAACGGGGGGAAGAAACCAGCTTCAGTGGACGTCCAGATGCACGACTGATACGAAACGGCTCAAAGAAGGGCTTTGTCGAAAAGGGGATGGATGGGTGTTGTTATCCTACATATGATTCACAAGGTCGCGTTAGCATTGTGGAGGGCAGAAGAAGGAGTTCGACTGAAAATCGAAGTGCGTTTTTCTCTATGATCATGACAAGAGCTGAGTGGCACACGGTAAGTAGGCAGTAATCGTTGTCCGAGACTGTGAGCATACTCAAGGGGTGATGAGTCAGCACAGCCCAACGCATCTGATAGAGGACAGTGACTATAGTGGTCTTGCTATCGATAGCAATAACCAGGCAGTTTCCGGTGGCGAAAACGGAAGATAGCACATCATTTTACCATTTTAACGACTAGCCATAACTCGAAGGACTCCGTTCGCTCAACCCTGTGCTGAAATGGACTAAACGAGAGTTGCGCTGAAAATAGCATCGCCTCCAGAGTTCGGCTACAGATCCCCGGCTCTCCCACTTTCCGGTGACTGGAACTATAGTGGCTGAAGCCGAAGCACCATTGGTGCAGATGATAAACTGAACTGTGCTGAAACGGCTATAAAATGAATCTCATCGATCTGAGCAGCCACAGACAAACACCCATAGGGTATGTAATCGGACGATAAAGTCACCGCTATGTCCTCAGGGTTTCATGAATACCAGAATTAGATGGCGCTTCCACTTTCCAGTGTAACTAGAAAGTGAACTAGGGTGTCGTGGGGAACTGAGTGATATCTTATCGTTCATGAATATGCAGTGAACTCTATCCGATCAGCTAGTTACCAGGAGCGGGGTGGGGTGGGCGAGATAGCTCAGTGGTTAGAGTGCGAATTTACTGACCAGAAGGTCCGTGGTTCGAACCCGACCTCTGCCTCTCGACTTCCCCTGTCTAGGCTTGGGCAACCTGGCAGTATCCCAACCCTCGTGTCTCCTTCCGGTGGCACCGAAAGGGCGCTTCAGCTGAACAAACTGGTCGGCTGAAATGAACTTAAGTATACACTGGACTCACCCATCGGTTCAGGTTCAACATGATTTGCTTTCGAACAACGTACACCGTGGTAAATCACCGCGTTCGACAAATCCAGATGGATCCGTTCCAAAACACAATTTCCGATTTCGGCATCGACGGGATCTGTATGACGCGAAAGAGTGGGGATAATGAGTAGCATTCATCGAAGATCATCATTATGGGTAAAGGGAACTTAGAGGTCATATTATGAACGGCGCTCACCTCTAAAATCGTCTGAGCAGTGGGAGATTCGGAAGGAAAACTTGGTTGATGTAGTGGATTGTGGTGAGCTGGAATTAACAAGAGTAAACTTATAAACGATTGGAATGACTGGCTTGCGGAATCAAGATAGATGTTCTTGTTCGGTGTGGTTGCAATCCACGTAGGATCATTAGAAAAAACGGGGGGATGGGGATGTAAACCCCAACCGACCAAAGGTCACAGCATCCCTCTTTAACAACTAACTTAGCACTAGGTCACCCACACGGATGGACAGAAGGTTCAAACGAAGTTCAAGAGGAACCATCAAATGAACCGAACCAGAAGGACTAGACCCTAGGTTGGACCCAAGCACATGTAGGTTTCCCAGCCGACCCAACACTTGTTCAACCATTCTAACACACTAAAATCCCTCGGCCGATACCCAACAGAGATTTAACTTGACTTAGCTGATTGGTTCTCCTTCCGCCTTAAATCTCCACCAACCTCGGAACCTAGTCACTTGGCCTGACGAAGCTTTTGTGTGAAAAGCGAAACGTT